GCTCCTATGCCTCAGCATTTCTGTATCCCTTGGGTAAATTCCTAGCAGTGCTATTGCTGGGTCATAGGGGAGTTCTATTGTTAGTTTCCTGAGGAACCTCCACACTGTTTTCCAGAGGGGCTGTACCAGTTTACATTCCCACCAACAGTGTAGGAGGGTGGCATCCATTTTTCAAATAAGAACATTAAAATCCAACCAGCACAATGAGTAACTTTTCCATATTCACAGACAGGTCTGGTTAGTCTTCTAACCACTCAGAGCAGACACCAACTAAAGAAGTCAGTATCGTCAGCTTTTTAAACTGGTTGCATATGAGCCTTGCTTATATCTTATTATAGATTTTTAAACCTTCAAGACAAGGATTCAATCTTATTTAAATGGCTTTTTATCCCTCACTTGGTATCTGAAACAGTATTCTACACATAAATGGTGTTCAAAAGATTTTTGTTGAATTTTAGTAACCTGAGACTGAATTCTGGCAAAACCCTAAAAGAGTATAATAAACAGGTAATTTATGAATAACTGAAAAAATAAAACAGGACTTGTAGTTCTGGAATCATTGCAAAAAATAATCTGAAAACACTCCTGATACAAATACCTAGTGGTTTTGGGAAAAGATATAAACACAGGTATGTATAGTTAACTTCTATATTTATCTACATCCCTCAAATACCTCAAAACAGAATCTAAATATAGACAGATATGTTAAAGGATGTATATGCAGATTTATAGATATATAAATATATATCCTTTATATCAATATAAAGAACGCATTAGATATAGATAGATATGTTAAAGGATAGATGGGTAAGGAAGAGGGACCTATAAAGGCAATAAAAGTTTAGACACATAAATGGGAGGAAAACCAAGTGAATTTACTGTACTGATGTGAAGGCAAAAGAGAGAGAATGGCCAATAGTGACCTTTTGATTTTTGTGTTAATGAAGTTATTAATGCCTTGGAAATAGATGTGAAGAGGTAGGAATTTTCATTTTAAGAGTTTAGGCTACAAATGGTAAAAAAAAAAAAAAAAAAGGATCAATTGTATGCTGAATGGTCTCCCAGGAGAGAGTTTTATTTATTTTAAGATGGAAGAATCATAACCTGATTTAAGATGTAATGTTCCTGCCTAGTTATCTCTTACACATTCTGTAAGATTCAGCTCAAGTGTTATCTCTAGAACAGTTTTTGCACTTGGTCAAACTGCTTCTGTTGTCTTAGCACTACCAAAAGGTCATTATCACAGCACTTAGAATATTTTAATAAACATATCCGTTTAAATGTCTTGTCTCCTCCAGATTATAAACTCCATTATCATGTGTTATTTATCTTTGAATCACCAATTTTTGGCAAAGGTTTGGCAATAGAAAGTTCTCAAGCAATGTTTAACTAAACTATGGAGCTTTTTAAAACTTTTTTTTTTAATATTTTATCTAGGAGAGAGAGAGAGAGAGAGACAGCGTGAGCAGGGTAGGGTAAGAGAGAGAGGGAGTCACAGACTGAAACAGGCTCCAGGCTCTGAGCTGGCAGTCAGCACAGAGCCCGATGTGGGGCTCGAACCCACGAACCGCTAGATCATGACCTAAGCGAAAGTCGGACGCTTAACCGACTAAGCCACCCAGGCGCCCCAACTATGGAGCTTTTAAAAATTTACTTTATTTTTTTTAAATTTACTTGTGTCCACGTTTTGTACTTATTTCTTCTATTACAGCACCTAGATACTTTTTAATTGTAATTATTCCTTTTCACATGTATCACATTTATGTTTAGTAGGCCTTCCTACTAAACAACATACTTACTCATTTTTGTAATACTAGCATTTAGCATAATCACTATCATTCATTCATTGAATATTCAAACATTTCTTGAGTAACCAGTCGTTATTCTAAACTCTAAGAATACCAGAGTAAGAAAGATTTAACTTCTGGTGGAGGAAGAGAGACAATAGACAATAAAAAAAAAAGTAAAGAAAATGATTTATGATAGTAATTATTAAAGACAAACAAGGTGATGTGATATAGTAACTGCTGAGAATGAGGATTCCTTACTTTAGACAGGATACTTAAGAGCAGAATCAAGAAAGTAAAGACACTATGTTTGTACATAATGTTTCTTTAAAATATATATTGACTAAAACTTTAAAGTGAGAAGGGGATCTTAATGATCACAAAGTCCAGTCTTTTTGTTTTACAGATGGATTTAGAGAGAAAGTGTGACTTGTTGAAGGTATTAACAAATATGTAATTTGTCTTTCTCTTGGTAAAGTGGTTTGGAAACTTTCAGATTCTTTAAACCTCACTGGGATTTCCCTAAGATGTAAATGACCTACTTATTAGGGAGAATGATGGTGTACTAGTCACACCTATTTTCTTCCCTAATGGAGACTTGGGAAAAATAAAAAATAAAAAATAAAGAAGAGGGCAGATATCTGTAGGCGGAGACAGTTAAGTGGGCTATCATCACAGTGGTAACAATAGAGAAGGTTCTACAAGGAGACTTGTAGTATCAAGAATTACATAAGAAGCTTAAAAATTTTTCCCCTGATTTTTCAAAGACACTCATTGTAGAAAATACACACACACAGGTCTAGAGTGGAAAATTGTCACTATAAGCCCTTACTCCAGGGATAACCAATGTTGATTATTTTCTTTATACAAGTGTTCCTCCCCTTTAATTTTTTCCTTTTTTTTTTACAAAATTGAGGCCATATATATATACATATATATATGAAATATGCATATGAAAACCATATATGAAATATATATGAAACCATATATTTTTTTCATGTATATAAATATGGAAACCAGAAAAGTGAAAAGAAAAGGAAAATGAAAAGGGATAACAAGCACCCATGTAATTTCCTACTAAATGCATATTTTTTGGTCATATAAGTTTCAGATCTTTCATTTTTTAAAGAAATAGAACATTTCAGATAAAGTCTATGTTCCACCCATAGTCCCATTCCCCTCATTGAACATTATGTTTTTCAGTTCTATTCATGCTGATACATATATATCTAATTTATTCAAAGTTATAAGTGTTAGCCTTGATGAATTTTCACTGAACATACCTATATGATCAGCACCCAGTTCAAGAAACAGAACATTATCAGCACTCTTGAACTCCTCAGATAACTGTGTTTGAATTTTATGTTGTCTTCTTTTGCTCAACAATATTTATGAAATTTATCTACTTTGTTGTGCATAGTTGTAGTTTATTCTTTCTCATTGTTGTAGAATATTAGTATCCAAATAACTGGCTTTTTTTTTTCTAACAAAATCTAATGATATTCCATGTCTCTATTCTCCACCTGATCTAGATAAGGAAGAACCTTAGCAATATTTAAATTCTATTGTTCCCTCACTTGTGGTTGTGTGCATTTAAGCAAGTTCCTTAACCTTATTTTGCCTCATCTGTTCCTCAGCTATAAAATGAGGAAATAATAGTACTTAATTTAGAGTTGTTTTGTGAGAATTAAATGAATTTAAATACATAATACATTGAACAGTGCCTGGCATACAGTATTTACCATATGAATGTTAGATATTATTATTGTTGTTGTTATTGGTGAAAGGATAGACAACATATATCAAGGGGAGAGAATACAGAGTCTGGAAATAGACTGACACTAATGTATCTACTTGATTTTTGACAAGGGCGCAAAGACAACTCAGTGAAAAAAGGATAGTCTTTTTAATAAATATATCCAAAGGGGGGGGGGGAAGGAGCTTGACATATACCTTATGCACAAAGTAATCCAAAATGAATCATAAATTAAACGTAAAACATAAACTATAATTCCTTTATGGGAAAACATAGGAGAAAGTCTTTGTGGCTTATTAGGCAAAGAGTTCTTAGATAGGACCCATAGCATAAGCCACACAAACAAAAAGTTAATAAATTAGACATCACCAAAATGTAAAAGTTTTGCTCTGTAAAAGACACTCTTAAGAGGATTGAAAACATAAGCCATAGACTTGGAGAAAATATTTCCAAATCACATATCTGACCAAGGACTTGAAGAATTCTAAAATATCAGCAAAGATTTGAGCAAATTCTTCACTGAAGAAGAGATATGGATGACAAATAAATGTGTGCAATGATGTTCAATATCATTATTCACTAAGGAAACACAAATTAAAACCACAGTGAGATACCACTGTATATCTATTAGAATGCTTGAAATAAAACTAACAACACCAAATAGTGGCAATGGTACCACCATTGGTGGAATTGCAAGTGGAACTGTCAAATAATGCTGATGGGAAAACAAGATGGTACAGACACTTTAGAAAGCAGTTTGGCATTTTTTATACATTTAAATATATACTTTTTAAAACTGTTTATTTTTGAGAGAAAAAGAGACCGTGGGAACAGGGAAGGGGCAGAAAGGGAGACAGAATCTGAAGCAACCTCCAGGCTCTGAGCTGTCAGTATAGAGCCTGATGCGGGGCTCGAACTCACAGACTGTGAGATCATGACCTGAGCTGAAGTTGGACACTTAACAGACTGAGCCACGCAAGGAGCCCCAATACATTTAAATATATACATGCTACATGACCCTACTGAAATAAAAACTTATGTTCAAACAAACACTTTTATGCAAATGGATAGTAGATTCAATCTAACAACCCCAAACTAGAAACAACCATCTCTCAGCTGGGGAATAAACAAACTGTGGTACATCTGTAAAATGGAATGTTACTCAGCAATAAAAAAAAATGAACAATTGATACATGCAACAACGTAGGTGAATCTCAAATGCATTATGCTAAGTGAAAAAAGCCAGGCTCAAAAGACCACATGCTGTATGATTCCATTTATATGAAATTGTGGGAAAGGCAAAAGTATTAAGGATAGAGAATGGGAATGGAAAATAAACAATGGTTACCAATAATTGGTGCTTGATTATTAAGAGGCAGTATGAGGAAATCTGGGAAGGTGATAGAAGTGTCATGTAACTTGGTTATGGTGATGAGATTAAACACTCCGTTTTTGTCAAAACTTATAGAATTGCACACACACCCCAATGAATTTTACTATGTATAAATTTTTAAAAAATTTTTTAAATAAAAGCCTTCTTAGGTTGTTACTCCATGTACTTCCTCTCTGCCAATCCTCTATTTTTTTCTTTGGAACCCTTATTACTTTTATATTATACTCTCCTAATCTTTTCCAAGTCTCATGATTTCTTTATATTTTTCATTTCTTGATGTAATTCAGCAAGTTTCTCAGTCTTATTTTTCATCTCATTAATTGTGTTCAAAGTAGACTTTATCATAAAATTTTTGAATTTTCCATTTTCCAATGTTGCTTCTTGTTTTTTTTTTTAAAAAATTTTTTTTAAATAGTTTATTGTCAAATTAGTTTCCACATAACACTCAGTGCTCATCCCCATTTTTTAAAAAATTTTTTAATGTTTATTTATTCTTGAGAGAGAGAGAGCTCAACGGGGGAGAGACAGAGAGAGAGGGAGACACAGAATCCAAAGCAGGCTCCAGGCTCCATGCTGTCAGTGCAGAACCCAACGTGGGGCTCCATCTCACGGAACCTCAAGATCATGACCTGAGCCAAAGTCAGACACTTAACTGACTGAGCCAGCCAGGCATCCGCTTCTTGGTCTTTTATTGGTGATTCAGGACTCCATTCCCTCAGAGATTTTGTTACTATAGAGTCATTCACAGTACCAAAGGATGGTTTGATCTAAGTCTTGTCTCAGTGATTTTCTCTGTTTCTTCTGCTAATTCTTGCTTCCAGATCTCAGTGCTTCACATGCCTGTGGTTGTAGCCTCCATTTATTTCTCTGTGTTGCTTTTTTTTTTTTTTTGTCTATAGAAATTTTCATTTTTTTTCAAAGTTTCATTTCTTTAAGTAATCTCTACACCCCATGTGGGGCTCAAATTCACAACCCTGAAATAAAGAGTTGCATGCTTTTCCAACTGAGCCAGCCAGGCACCCCTAGAAATCTTTATCTTATATTTGAGTACAACTATTTCTTTTTAATTTTTTAAAAATATGCATTTTATCTATCTTGCTTTTATCATTGAATGCTATCTGATATTTCCTCATACCATTGTGACAGTGATTCTCAAGTGGGGGCAGTTTTGTCCCCAGAATACATTTGCCTGGAGACATCTTTGGCACAATGCATAGGACAATCCTACAACTCTTGATCTGATCCAAAAGATTAATAGTATTGAAGTTGAGAAATATTTCACTAAATAATTAAAGAATATGATATTTTTCATATGTATCATCATAATATATTTAATTGACTTCCTAATGTGCACTTAGAATGGGTTTTTTTTGTATTGTTAAGTATCACTTTTTTTGGTATAACTTGTTGGTACCATTAATTCCCAAGTTTAGACATTTTTTGAACCCAAAGAAAACTGAGACTTGAGAAGCATCATCTTGGAAGCTGGAAATTACTTAGGAAATAACAAAAGTATGGGAACAACAAAGTCTATCATGTCATATTTTTAGTGGAATTTATAATGTGTTCCCACATAAAGAACTTCCATTAGTTTTATATTACTTCTTAAATTTTTTATTTAAATTTCAGTTAGTTAACATAGAGTGTAATATTAGTTTCTGGCATATAATTTAGTGATTCAGCATTTTCATGCAATACCCAGTGCTCATCACAAGTGCACTCCATAATCTCCATCACCTATTTAACCCATCACACTACTCACCTACCCTCTGTCAACCATCAGTTTGTACTCTATAGTTTTATACTTTTAAAATCTTTTTTCCCAGGTAACATGAAGTCAACCTTTGAGCAACATGGGTTGAACTGTGCAGGTCCACTTATACACTGATGATTTTCAATATAGTATAGAACTGTCAGTGTATTTTCTCCTCATCATTTTATTAATATCATTTTCTTTTCTCTAGCTTATTTATTGTAAGACTATAGGATGTAATACATAGAACATATGAAATAAGTGTAATTAACTATGACAAAGGTAAGGCTTCCGGTCAATAGTAAGCTATTGTTTTTATATGTACATATGTAAGTAGTTTAATTTTGGGGGAGTCAAAAGTTATATATGGATTTGTGACTGTGCAGAGGTTGGTGCCTCTAACTCTCATGTAATTCAAGGGTCAACTATACTTCTAAATTGTTTTAAGGCCCTTCTTGTTGTATACAGCTTTCTGTAAAGTTTCCTACAACTTGCTTTATTTTTAGGTATCACATACCAGAATCTTAATAAATACTTGACCAACTTGACTATTATTACCTTATGTATTCTTTAGTTTTAATTATTTTCAATATATACCAGGATTAAGATGATTGGTAGTAGGGATAATAGGAACAAACAAACAAACAAAATAAAACCAGAGGACTAGCTTTAATCTGTAGCCTAATCTCAGTTCAGGTCCTTCTCTTACCTGGACCTCAATTTTATAATCTGTAAAAGTAAAGCTATACCATATAATTCTAATAGGCTTTTCCAATTATGAACTTGTAAGCTTGTCTCCTGACTTCCTGGTTAATGTCATCACACTACCCTATGTAGTGTGATGTTGATTCAAAAGATGTAATATCTTTTGAAATATTATGTCATTTAATTTTACATGGAGAATGAAGATACTTGTATGAAATAATCTTTTATAATTTATTTGTATAGGTTTTTTAAACCCCTTAACCTATTTTCTGGCTGCTGGTGCTGTTACTTTGGGAATTGGTTTTTTTGCTTTGGCATCAGCTTTGTGGTTCCTGATTTGCAAACGAAGGTAAGGTTTATTAAATATTTAACTTCTTTTCCCTTAAAAATACAAAGAAAGATTTTTTCAAATGGTATTAAATAACTATAATGGTAACTATAATGGTATAGATTCTATAACTTGAGGTTTGGTTACAGACACTTTGGGGAGGGAAAGCTTTACATGTTTAAAATAGCCTGGACAATGAGAAAGAATGAAATTGGGCTATTTGTAGCAACATGGATGGAACTTGAGGGTGTTATGCTAAGTGAAATAAGTCAGGCAGAGAAGGACAGATACCATATGTTTGCATGTATAGGTGGATTAGGAGGAACTTAATGGAGGACCATGGGGGAGAAAAAGGGGGTAAAATAGTTGGGGAGAGGGAGGGAGGCAAACCATGAGAGACTCTTGAATGTTGAGAACAAACTGAGGGCTGCTGGGGGTGGGGGAGAGGGGAACGGGGCTGATGGGCATGGAGGAGGGCACTTACTGGGATGAGCACTGAGTGTTATATGGAAACCAACTTGACAATAAACTAGTTAAGAAAAAAAAAAGATCAAATAAATTTCATGTTATCCTTAAAAAAACAATAGCCTGGAAAGAGAAGTCCCACAAGTAGAGCCGTGTGAGTACTATCATAGCAGTCTTCATGCATTAAAATTTCAAGGAATAATGAGATATATTTTATTGTTTGGAAGACATGGGCTCAAATCATAAGATGTGACACTAAAAATTTTTTTATTTCTAATTAGAGATTAAAAACATTACTGACATGGAAAACCTCTTTCTTTAGGAGATATTTAAGATAAGAGCTGACAGAATGCTCTGGTATAAACTAAATGTAGTCTTTTTCCAGACATGGAAAACCTTAAAATTTGGTGGTTTTGATTATTTAGTTCAGTATTTGCTTTGTTTAATGTAAATTTTAACATGTTCTTGCACATATTCTTCCAGTATTTCCTATTTCAGCAAATTAATGCATATTACTATTCACTTGCACAAGTCAGAAAACTAGACAATCTTCACTTACTAAATCTTTTAACAAATATTTATTGGGTGGCTGCCATTGTTCTAGGGACTGAGGATACAACTGCGAACAAGTCAGACAGGATTCCTAATTCATAGAGTAGCAGTGCCATTGGGAAGAGACAGATAATGAAAACTAAAGTGGCCAAGGAACATCTCTTCTAGTGGGCGGTGTTTAATCTGAGATCTGAGTTAAAAGAAAGAGCCAGACATTTGAAGACTTTGTCAGAGAGCTTTCTAAGCTGAAGGGATAGCAAGTACACAAACCGTACATGGCAATGTTCTTGGTTTTGTTCAATAAACGGAAAGAAGGCTAGTGTGAACAGATTATAGTAAATGAGGGTAAAAATGATGAGACTGAAGATATAGATAAGGGCCAGATCACATGGGATGTTGTAGACTAGAATATGGGGTTTGATTTTATTATTTGTGCCATCATAAGGTTTTAAGCAGGGGAATAACATTATCAGCATAATAATGGTTAACATTGAGTGCTTACTACATACTATGCATTGTTCTAAGTGCTTTATATGTTATTTCATTTAGACTTCATAACCACCCTATGAGGTAGCAGAAATATCATCCCCCTTTTAAGGGCACTAAAATGTCACCTATAGATGATTTACATTTTATAACACTTTTTAAAATTTGAGATATAATTTACATATAATAAAGTGCATAGATTTTAATTGTATGATGATGAATTTCAGCAAATATATTCCCATGTATTCACAGCCCCAGTCAAAATATACAACTTTCCATCACCCTGGAAAGTTGCCTCATGCTCCTTTCCAGGCATCACTCCCCACCTCCCACCCAGAAGCAATCATTATTTTAATTTTTATTACCACAGATTAATTTTGTCTAGTCTTGAATTTCATTCAAATAGAATCATGTGGAGTTTTTATGTCTACTTTTTTTTTCATTTAACATACTTTTGAGATTCATGCATGTTGTTGTATTATATGTATTCCATTCTCTTTACTAATGAGTATAGTATTTCAGTGTATAAACATACCTTAGTTTACTTATTCTGTTAATGGACATTTGGGTCACCTCCAGTTTTTAGTTCTTAGGAATAAGGCTGTTATGAACAATCTTGTATAAATATTTTTGTACATGTGTTTTCACTTCTCTTGGGTAAATACCAAAGAGTGGAATTGCTGGATCAAATAGTTATCTTTTTACCAAATTGCTGAACAGTTTTCCAAAGTGGGTACTTACTCCAACCAGCGATGTATGAGAGTTCTGATTCATATTTTTAAGATTTCTCTTACTTCTCTGTGAAGCCTAAATTTTAACTGAGCAAGAGTGAAAGCAAAGAATATTAGGAGGCTATTGCATAGTCCAGGTCAGAGATGATAATGTCTTGGACTAATATGAAAGTAAAGGAGATGGAAAGAAGGGGTTGGGTTTGGGATGTGTTTTGCAGGTAAAGTTAGCAGGGCTTGCTGATGTGTTGGATGAGGTAAGGAAAGATAAGTGAAATGGCAGAATTAATGTTAACACCTATGTTTTTACCATGAGGAACTGAGTAGTTGATCATACCATTTACTGAAATGAGAAGATGATTAGAAAGAGGAGCAAGCTGAGGGAATAGTGATAAACTAGGAGTTACATCTTGGATATAAGTTTGAAAGTCTACTGGACATCCATTAGAAATGTCAAATCCTCACATATACATGTAGGAACTTTAGGAGAGAAGTCAAGCTTGAAGACTTAGGGTATCAATTAATAGAGGGTATCTAAGTTATAGAACTGGGTGAGACTAACCAGAGAGAGTGATTGTTGGAAGAGAAGAGAAGAACCTTGGACTCTGCCCTTCAGCCCACCAACACTTAGAAATCTAGCAAAACAATAGGAAGAATCAACATCTGAGTGTGAAAACAGAGAGGTACACTATCAAGGAAGTCAAAAGTAGAAAAAGTTTCAAGGGTGCTGGGAAGATGGCAGAGTAGGAAGACCCTAAGCTTACTCCATCCCATATTTACAGCTAGATATCACTCATATCTAAGTTAATAAACCAGAAAGAGATCCAAAGACTGGTAGAACAACCTCCACAACTAAATGTGGAGAAGAAGCTGCATTAGAGAAACCAGGAAATGCAGAAACTGTGGTCCGGAGTTGCCCACAGGAGGGAGGAAGCTGTGGTTATGTAGAGGGAAAAACACCAAGAAGCCCACATAGAGAAAACAAATCCCCATATTGGAGCCTGGAGTTTTCAAAGTCAGAGGGCCAGTGATAGTTGGGTCTCTATCCTCACAGCAAAAGCCTGTGGAGAGGCAACATAGAAGCAACAGCTTGCAGAATGGGAGAGAGATCAGATTCTACTGATTTCAGAGCTTGTTGGGGGATTTCTCTGGGAACAAAGGAGTTGGCAGGTGCCATTTTCCTCCCCTGCCCCCAAGCATAAACACAGAGCCATCAGTGAGAGGTGGCACTGCACAGGCATTGCTACCTAACCTGCTAATACTATGCCCTGCCCACAAGTTCTCCTGAGGATTCCCCCACTCCAAGCCTGCGGTCTCAGCCCTGGACTCAGTGCAACTTTTGTTAATGCTATACACACTGCCTCTACATGCTGTGCCCCTCCAGCCACTATACTTTAGGGGGATCCAGCTTAGGACCAGTGACCCATTGCAAATTTTGCTAACACTGCATGTGCCCCACCCAGCTGCCAAGCACTCCCAGTTGGCTGCTACCACCACCCCCATCCCCTGGCTGTGGGAGGTTTGGCCTAGGACTAGGGGTTGAGTGTAAATTTTGCTAACACCACTGCTCTGCCCGCAAGCGCTTCTATTGTCACATCCCTTCAGAGCTGGCCTACCTGGATCTCACTAACATCGCAGAGAGCAAGCACAGCCTGCAACAGGCAAAAAGTCCAGATGTCTGGACTGAAATGAAAAATGACTCAGACACAATAGTAGGATGCAAGCAACACACATAGGAAACTCCTCTGGAGCCAGGTTCTGGTGAACAGGGAATACCGCACTGCAGGGTGCTATAGGATCTCTTCTTCATAAAGCCACTACTTTCAAGAGCAGAAGACACAGCTGACTTCTAACATATAAGAAACAGACACAGAAGGGGTGGCGCCTGAGTGGCTTAGTCGGTTAAGCGTCCGACTTTCGCTTAGGTCATGATCTCGCGGTTCGTGGGTTCGAGCCCCGCGTCGGGCTCTGTGCTGACTGCCAGCTCGGAGCCTGGAGCCTGTTTCAGTCTGTGACTCCCTCTCTCTCTGACCCTCCCCTGGTCACGCTCTCTCTCTATCTCTCTCTCTCTCTCGATCCTAGAAATAAATAAAAATATTAAAAAAAAAAAAAGGAAAAGAAACAGACACAGAAGGTTAGACAAAATGATGAGACAGAGAAATATGTCTCAAATGAAAGAACAAGACAAAAATCACAGCAGGAAGTTTAAATGAAAGAGAAATAAATCATATGCCTGATACAGAATTTAGAGTAATGATCATAAGATATTCACTGGACTTCAGAAAAGGGTAGAAGATTGAATCAAGCATAGACTCTCTTTAAGGAAGGTTTTGTTTTTGTTTTGTTTTGTGTTTTTGGTGAAGGGAAGTTGATAAATAGGTCAGAAGCTGGAAGAGAATGTGAGGTTAAGGTAGGGTTGTTTTTTCTCTCTCTGAAAATTGTAAACATGCTTAGTATCCTCCTCCCTTTCACACCTCCCCCAAATTTGAACCATCACCAAGTTCTACTTATTTTACCTCATAAATCACTCAAATATATCCATTTCTTTCAAGTACCACTGTCATCTTATTTAAGTTATCCTTATTCCTCATATAGATTACTGCAGTAGGAGTTATGACTGACCCTCTACCTTCAGTATTGCCCTCATTAAGTCTCTTCTCCATGTTTCAGACAGACATTTTCCAAATACATATCTAATCAAGTCACCCAACCATCCCATCCCATCCCCACTATATTATAAAGGACTTCTCAATGCTTTTAGGAGAAAGACACAACTTGTAATACAAGGCCCTACATGGTTTGCCCATGCATACTCCCCCATTTTGTCTCCCACTTTCCTTCTTGCTTTCACTGCTTCTGATACACTGTCCTAATCTGGCCCCTAGGTCTTTATACTCGCTGTTCTTTCTGACTAGACTATACTTTCTTCTACATCTTTCTTCCTCCATCACACCTATCTAATATCTTACTGTTTCTTCAGTTGCCCAATTTAATCATCTCTCCCTCAGAAAAGTCTTCCCTGACCTCTCTCTAACCAGATTAATTCCCTTTGTTCTGTACTTACACAGTACACCAGGTACCTTTCCTTGATAATACTTTCCAAAGTTGTGATTTTTCATTTTCTTGTCAGTATTTTATTAATGTTTATCTTCCTTAATAGTGTTGAAACTCTATGAGAGCAATAACAGTTCTATGAAGGTAGTGGTTGTGCTTTATTTCTGCTGTCACAACACCCAGCATAATGCCCAACATATAGTAAGCATTCAATAAATATTTAAGGGAACTGAATTCAATGAATGAAGGAATCCTAATTGCCTATACATCAATAAGTAACAATGTAATCTCTTGAATTAATTTAGAAATTTTCTAGTACCTCTGTAAGAAGAAATGGCAATCAGCACTATTTTTTTAAATTGTTAAGTTTAGAATGACTGTTAGAAACTATATTTCCTTATACTTAACTCTCTTTGATCAGCTGGAGTTCTACTTGCTGATTGATTATTTTTAACAGTCTCTCAAAATTATTTGTGTTGCATGGATAAAGATCACAAGTACTCTTGCATTGTAAGTATGAGTTTCAATTCAGTTTCCTTCGTCTTACTTTGGCCGGGTATAATATTAAGTATAAGACTGATGAATGAGTTTCATTTCATTTTCTTTGCCATTGAAAGCAAACTTATGAAAGTTTAAAGTAGATTGATTATCTCACAACCAGAAAGGATATAAAAAAATCATGGTTAATTTCAAACTAGAAATATTAAACCCTGCATAAGAAGTAGCTTAATTTACATACTATGAATAAAATAGGTGTAATAAATCGGTAACATGAGAAGATAATATATATATTGATTTGTGCTTTAAAAATTAATATATAACAATATATTCTGATTTTAAACCTTTATGTATAACTAGTAGAAACAATTTAATTGGTTTATAATGGAACTCATGTTTAAATGTCTTCTATAAAATATTTTTCAGAGAAATATTTCAAAATTCCAAATGCAAAGCGACTGATGAGAGATGCGGGCAAAGATCATCAAAGGCAAAGATTAAATCACATTCTCAGTGTGTTTTTATTTCTCGAAACTTTCATACTGGAGGATGCCAATTACAGGTAATGTATGATATTTTCTTGAAATATTTTCAAATAATTTATTTAATACTATGTCATTAGCATTGTCTTTAAATTTGAAAGAGTATCCATTATTACTTTTATATTTGAGGGATAATAACATGGGCCTATATTTAAATGATCCAAACTGGTGAGTTTTTATATTATAAGAAATTGAAAAACTAAATGAAAATGTCTGCTTTTATAGTTGTTTCTCTATATTCCTTTTTAAAAAATTTTTTTTTGAAGCTTATTTATTTTTGAGAGAGAGAGAGACAGAGTGTGAGAAGGTGAGGGGCAGAGAGAAAGGGAGACACACAGAATCTGAAGCAGGCTCCAGGCTCTGAGCCATTAGCACAGAGCCCAACATGGGGCTCAAACTCACCGACTGGTGAAATTATGACCTGAGCCAAAGTCGGATGCTTAACTGACTGAGCCACCCAGGCACTCCGCTTCTCTGAATTTCTAACCTGAGAGCCTACACTCCTCATATTGGGATTTTTATTGAAGATACATGGCATAAGAAAAAGCAAAATTTCCAGGCCTGTCAGAAGAAAGTAATTTGGAAATACAAGGATACTCAGATAACCAAATAATCTAACAAAACCAACTAATTGAAATTAAGTACAATTAACAAGGATTTATTAAGACTTCATTGTATTCTAAGCTCTGGAAGCCCCCTATTAAGGATGGTTAAGATATGAATCTTACCTTAGAGATGCTAGTGTAGTACATTACAAGTGGTAAAAGGCAGACACATAGTTGGCTTTCCATTATGTTATGTCAAAAACTGTGTTGTATGCACAAAGTAAAACAAGGGAGATGCCAGTAGAAGTTTAAAGCTATGCTATAGTTAAACAAAATAAGTATTAGTAGTTGATAACATTACTATTATTATTATTATAGCATTAATAAATAGCAACAAGTTGATAGGATATCAAAGTTTCATTTTACAACTTGAATACTGAACTCAAGTTGAACCCAGTTTTCATTTGTTTAACAAATATTTTTCAAGTGCCTTAAATATGACAACAGTAGTTTTGGCACTGAGGCCACATAAATAAATAAGATATGAGTTCAGACCTAGACAAGCCCCAAGTTAGTAGCAAAGAAAATCATATAAACTAAAAATTACAACATAATGTGTTAAGAGCCACAAAATTGAAGAAATGCAGGGAAAGGAGCGTAAATTGAGGAAGGCTTCACAGAGAAGAAATTTTTAGCTGGATTTGGAGAAGGAAATAATTTGCCAGGAGAAAAGAGAACAATAGATATTCTATGTTTAAAGGCTTGCAGCTATGAAAGTAATATGTTCAGTAAAAATGTTATAAAGTTTAGAGTCTAGGGTTCATAGGAGGAAGTGGTGGGAAAAGATCCTGGAGACGAGGTTGTGAGAATCCTAACTTGCAGCCTGAGGATTTTGGATTTTACCCCATAGGCTTTACAGATCCACTGGAGGCATTATGGGATTATAGTCAAGGACATAGACTGCAGAGCCAGTTGATGCAGTTTGGAATCCTTGCTCTTCCACTACTAGCTGTGTAATCTTAGGCAAATTACTTAACTTTTGTATGTCTGTTTCCTCTTCTGCAAAATAGGGGTGATTTCATCTCCATTGTATTGTTATAGAAAGTAAATGAATCAGTATGTAAAAAACACTCATTGTGCCTGGCCACATAGTGAGTAACTATACTATTATAATTCTTGGGGGAGGGGGGTGTTTAAGCAGGTGGGTTTAATGATCAAGTTAATTCTAAAGATTAATAGCTCTGGGGGCGCCTCGGTGGCTTAGTCGGTTAAACGTCCGACTTTCGACTTTCGCTTAGGTCATGATCTCACGGTTCGAGGGTTCGAGCCCCGCGTCGGGCTCTGTGCTGACTGCCAGCTCAGAGCCTGGAGCCTGTTTCAGAGTCTGTGATTCCCTCTCTCTCTGACCCTCCCCTGCTCACACTGTCTCTCTCTCTCTCTCTCTCTCCTAGAAATAAATAAAACATTAAAAAAAATTTTTAAAAAGATTAATAGCTCTGAAGATTGTTTGAAATTGAGATTGCATTGCAGAGAAAAGAATGTTTCTATGTATACATTTAATATTAATTGAATTTACTCAGTACTCATCACATGCTAGGTATTTTGCTAGATACTATTGGTATAATGATGTCTTCATACCTAATGATGGATACAGACAGTTACAAAAATATCATGAGTACTATGATGGAAGAAATACATATATAGTAGTCCTGAGTTTTAACTACTTATTGTTCATTCAACAAATATCTAATAAAGGCTTATATGCCAGGCACTGTTCTAGGCAACTGGAAATTTGGTAGTGAATATGGAAGACAAGAGTCCCTGCTCCACTCACATTATAGCCCTAGTGGAAGAGATAAATAATGGACAAGTAAATGTAAAATATTATTCAGGACTCTTGATAGTTATAGAAACCTAATTTAGAAGAAAAATAGTATAAAACTTTGAATGAAAACATGGTATGAAAATAATAAGGTAGTGCTGACCTCAGCCATAATCACTTTCAGTACAAAAAGATTCTTTTTCTTATTGTCCCTCTTTTTCTCATCTCAATTTCTGCCTGTGTACTGGCCCCTTTCTCACCTACTGGAGACAGGCAGGCAGGTCATTTATCTCTTACAGTCTGTACCCTCACCCTTATGTGGACCCACTATCCTGTAATTGCAGTTAACCATTTATTTGCTTTCCTTTACGGTTTTACCACAAATACTATAGACCCTTGAGCAATCTACTATTAAATTTTACATGTGTTTAAACTCCATGTCTAATATACTCTTACCTTTTTATGCAACATTATGTTTCTGAGATTCATCCACGTTGGTGCATATACTCATAGTTCATTATGGGCTGTTATACAGTATCCCATTGTATGAATAGATTAAATTTTATATTTTGCAAATATCCTAAAATTAAAAGACCTCAAATAGCCAAAGCAATCTTGAGAGAGAACATAACTGGAGGCATCACAATCCCAGATTTCAAGATACACTACAAAGCTGTAATAATCAAAACAGTCTGGTACTAGCACAGAAACAGACCCATAGATCAATGGAACAGAATAGGAAACACGGAAATGGTCCCACAACTCTATGGTCAACTAATCTTTAACAAAGCAGTAAAGAATATCCAATGGAAAAAAGACAGTCTCTTCAACAAACGGTGTTGGGAAAACTGGACAGCAATATGCAAAAGAATGAAACTGGATCACTTTCTTACACCATACACAGCAATAAATTCAAAATGGGTAAAAGGCAAATGTAAGACAGGAAACCATCAAAATCCTAGAACATAAAGTTCTAGCATAAAGTTTTTAATAGCATCCACTTATTATCCTTCTAATATCTGTAGACACTTTAGTGGTGGCACTTTTTATTCCTGATTATATTTCTTTTTTCCTAAATCAGTCTTGCTAGAAATTTTCAATTTTATTATTCTTAGACTTCTCTCCCTTTATAATATAAACACTTAATATTTATATTTTCCTCTAGGTACTGCTTTTGCTGCATCCCACAGATTTTTAAAAAAATTTTTAAAGTTTATTTATTTTGAGAGAGAAAGAGCTAGTGGGGGAGGGGCAGGGAGACAGGGAGAGAGAGAGAATGCCAAGCAGGCCCTGCACTGCCAGTGCAGAGCCTGATGTGGGGCTCAAACTCACAAACCATGAGATCATGACCCGAGCCAAAGTCAGACACTTAACTGACTGAGCCACCCAGGTGCCCCTGCATCCCACAAATTTTTATGTATTTTCTTTTCATCATTATTCAGTTTAACATATTTTAGAATGCCCTTTCATTGTCTTTCCTGATACTGACATTTTTGAAGAATACAAGTCAGTTATTTTATAGATCATAGGCTCAGTTCGACTTTCCTTATAATCAGATTCATTTTATCACCTCTGAAGACATACAATGTTCATCTGCTTTTCACTAGTGATTTTAGTTGATCACACAATCAGGATTATGTCTGTTCTTCACCCCAGTGTATTATTCTGGTTTTTACCCTAGCAATTAAATAATTTGTGTGATGACACTTTGTAACCATGTAAATATCCTTCATCAAACTCTACTTACTAGCTATATAAATTATTCTTGCCTGAGCCAATCTTCACAAAACTGTAGCAAAATGATGTTTTTCTAATTCTACCACTATTGGTCATTTGGCTTTCTACTATAAGAAAAAAGCTCCCCATCTTTCTTACTTTATGCACTGATTTATTATCTACATAGACTAATGAGTTTCTGTGTCATTCAGCAGATTATATTCCATTACTATAATTATTTTGATGCACAAGTTTTTCCAAATTTAACCAGTGGGAGCCCCTTGAAGGTTATTTTTCTGTCTTTTTGATATGTCCTCATCATTTTTTGATTCCTTACTTCTGATACGATAGCATCATTTTTAATAGTTGGAGGAATATCCATTGTATTAATATTTATGTATCGTATTACATTTAAGAATTTCTTCTAGAACTTTAAATTTAGAGTTTTAAAAATGCTTAACAATATTGTAAAGAATATTCTGGTAACTGTATATTTACATAAACCCAAAACTATTAACTTGGCATAATACATTTCTGGAAGTAGATTTGTTATATTGCCCTTCAGAAAAATTCTACCTAATTATAGTCAGCAATATGTAAAATGTTCATTTTGTTATTCCCTTAGTTTGGGTGAATTTCAATCATTCTAGGGCCTTATTCTGTGGTCCCCAGACCAGCAATATTATCATTACCTGGGAGTGTCTATTAGAATTGCAGAATCTCAGACCATCCCCCTCCTGCCCCAGACCCACTGGATCATAGCCTGCATTTGAACAAACTCCCCAGGTAAGACATAGGCACATAAAAGTCTGAGGGGCAGCGTTCTAATATAATTTGTACAGGAGTCACAAATTGAATTGGTCTTAAATCCGGCAAGGTAAATGAGGAGACTCTACTGGCATTTATCTTAATAAAAGGTAAAAGTGACAAATAAGTAAAGTTGATAGTGAAAAAAGTGCTTAATGTTATCCTATATATATATGTATAAGACATTCACACACACACACACACACACACACATACACACACACACATATATGTACAGTGTACCCTAAGCAAACTGTTTTGGGGGACAGGACAATGCACATCAGAACAGAGTACTAATACTGTTCCCCCAAAATACAAGAGACAGTGTTATTATCTCTCCAGCCAATTCCAAAAACCCTATGTACTAACCCATTGTTTATCTAGTGGTCTAAGGAAAACCTGAATCAGAACCACTTGCAGAATGTGCTAGAATGCATACTCCCAAACACCCCCCAGAGAATCTGTCTTAGTGGGGTCTGATATTATGCCCAAGTATCAGCATTTAAATAAGCACTGATGCCCTGGAGTTGAGAACTACTATCCCATGACATTTTCCAGAACACATCTGGAATGTATTGTTTGAGTAACTGTTTTATTTGCTTCAAAAGAATAGACACATTTTTATAAAATTCACTTTTTTGTTTTTGTTGGTTAGTGAAATGAGTAAGTCTAGGAATTCTAATTATTTTTTTAGCCCTCTCTAGTTCTAACCAAGTGACTCTGAGTTAGTGAGGAGGGAGAGAAATAATCCAGATGAACTCTATTTCACCCTTTCATTCTCTATCCTGAGACTGCTTTCTTGAACTAATTCATATTCTTTCCAGATGATACCTCAATACTTTTTCTTTTCTGACAACATATTTTTGGTGAAATAAATTCATATCATGGAAAAAAATTTCCATCAAACATATAACATATAAATATGTTAAATATATTTTAAAAATTACATAGAAAGCATTCATTTTTTTAAATAAAATAACTTTTTTATGTAGGAGGAGCAAAGAGAAAAGGAAACAACACGTATAAAAGGTAATTTTTCTCAAGAATTTATTAAAGAAACCAACTTATAGCAATGCACATCTTAAAATATCAAGAAGCTGACCTAAATGTTACCTAAATATTGTTTTTAAAACCATGGAAGTATAAGGGAAATGTTAATGGATTAGTATGTGAGTGGGGATATATTTCTCAGAAAACAAAACTTGCAATGTCATATCTTAATATGTTTAATTTAAATATTTGTTCCTTATTTATACCAAAAGGTATCATAGCCAGGGTCAAAAGACATGAGTATTTTATAATCCTTTGATTATGCATATTGCATAGTCCCTAGAACCTCAAAATGTTATCCTCCTACACAATTTAAGAAATGTTGGAAATAGGGGCACCTGGGTGGCTCAGTTGGTTAAGTGTCCAAATCTTGATTTCAGCTCAGGTCTTGATCTCAGGGTGGTGAGTTCAAGCCCTGCCTTGGGCTTCACACTGAGCATGCAGCCTACTTTAAAAAAGAAAAAAAAAGGAAAAGAAAAGAAATGTTGGATATTCGAAATGTAATAGTATCTAACAGCTTTAAGAATTAATGTTACAGGGGCGCCTGGGTGGCTTAGTCGGTTAAGCGTCCGACTTTCGCTTAGGTCATGATCTCGCGGTTCGTGGGTTCGAGCCCCGCGTCGGGCTCTGTGCTGACAGCCAGCTCAGAGCCTGGAGCCTGTTTCAGTCTGTGACTCCCTCTCTCTCTGACCCTCCCCTGCTCATGCTGTCTCTCTCTCTCTCCTAGAAATAAATAAAAACATTTAAAAAAAAAAAGAATTAATGTTACATATTAATATCATATTATATTAAATATTGTATATTGTATACATATGTAATATTAAATATTATTCAAGATACTTAGGATATTATATAGTATGATATTTTCTAAAACTTAGATTTTAAAATACCAAACATGCAACATAAATAATGTAAAGAGAGAAGCATTAGTCTTAGAGAACTAGAAGTCTAGATGAAGTCTAGATTTGTGGTGAGTCTTCAGTCTCTAATCATGTCTTCTCTTTTGTGAAGTGGTGCTAATAGTAAGTACCTTGAAAAATTATTGAGACGATATGTGAGATATGTAAGCATCTTTATATATTGTAAGGCACTCTAGAAATGTTAGATGTTACTTTAATTGGTGTGAAACCAACCCACAGGCCCTTCCCACTGTGGACCAAACATTTTATAATCTTATAGAAGCATGTTTTTTAATTTTTAATTTTTTAATGTTTATTAATTTTTGAGAGAGACTGAGCATGAGCAGGGGAGGAGCAGAGAGAGATGGAGACACAGAATCCAAAGAAGCAGGCTCCAGACTAGGATGTCAGCACAGACCCCGATACCGGGCATGAATTCAGGGACTGTGAAATCATGACCTGAGCCAAAGTCAGACGCTTAACCAACTGAGCCTCCCAGGCATCCCCAGAAGCATGTATTTTTAAATTTTATTTTAAAAAATCAGGGAATACTTAGCTAAAAATACTTAAGAAACTATCTACATTTTCTGATTTAAGGGACATTCCAAACCTGAGCTTTCTAGCCTTTTTAGAATCTTCTCCTGCTAAAACAGGTTGATTTTATTTAGAATAGACTTTTCTATTCTTGATTATCATGAAATTGTTAATTCCTAATTACATATTCAACATTGTACAGATGATGATAGCAACTCAGAATTTTACTATTTCATCCCACTGTCCATTATAATCCTCAAAAGAGTCTGAATTTTAAAAAGTAACATTGTCCTTATAAGTAAGATTTGGCTTATGAATATGTAATATTAACAGTCTAATTTTCTTTTACAGCAAATAAAGATCACTCTAAAGATGAATTCTGCCTTGCAACAAAAAAGGTCATTTGCGACCCTTCAGAGATTAGCTTGACAACACATCCCAGCAGTGGTACCTTAAGCTTATCGACACTACCATCTGATTCTTATTACAGCCAAAGTGTAGAAGCAGCTGATGACTGGTTTTCTGATGACACTCCAGCAAAAGAGAGTTCTCCAATGCCTTTTCTCAGGGAACCTCTAATGGAAAAAGTATTTTCATATCTATCAACAATTCCATTAGAAGAATGTACTGAAAGTGTACTGAATATGTCACTTTATGATGATCAGAAAGATGACAGCATTAAGGAAATATTTTCACGAAGAAATGCAGAGGTTGAAATACAAAAATTTCAACATAATATTGAATGACTTTTTTCTTTTGAAACTTTGTATACACTGAAATCATGGAAAGTTGAAACCAAATTATCAGCTTCTGAGTCTCTTAAAATGTCCATACTAATATTACTTTTCTTGTTCTTTGCCATATAGTGGTCCTACTTCCTTTGCCGATTCTTATTTCTAGAAACAAATGCAGGAAAAATTACAGTGACATCATGAACATTAAGCTTAACTCCTTGTATCTCATCAAAGGATATAATAAATAATCCAAATGTATTTTAACATGCAGAGAAAATAAGAAATCTTTAGCACAAATAGATTTTTGAATAAAACATTCACAGCATTTCTTTATACTTTTGACATTTTTCAATTTTATTTCAATGTGTGTAGGGCTGGGCAGAATACTTCCATCAGCTGTTCTGAATTTTAAATACATCAATCACCTACCATTCAAATGTTATTTTGTCACGATGTTGGTAAACATTATACTGTTGCTCTTTTAGGGGAGCCTGGAGCACTGTGAGAATCCAGAATATAATTTTTTCTTTGCCTTCTCCTGTGTCTGCTTCTCAGAATGGTTTCCCAATCCTTACCCCACTGTGATGGAAATGTGGACATTTATGTTCTTGAGCAGCTGATTCAAGCTAGATGAATCAGAGTTCCTCTCTAATCAGAGACCCTTGATCAGATTTCTATGTTTGGTCCTGAGGGATTTCTGACACCCACTATGTAATTAATCTTTTTTCCCCTCTTTCTCCTAAATACTGTCCATGTATTTAGTCCCCTTTTTCTTTTTTTCTTTGGGAAAAAATATTAAATGTAATATTAGCTTTTGTGTTTGTTACTCCTACCAAACCTGTGCAGGCCTTCCCAAGAGATAAATCATACCTATTACAGTAAATGAAAATAAACTTGTCTCAGTTAAGATAGTAGCATTACCCAGGTCTATCATTTCTGTCCCAGGGGAAATATTAAAAAGGATTAGAACACCTATCTTCTGAAGCTCCTTGTCATTTCTACTAGTTATCAGTTGTGAGAACATCTCTCTAATATCCACCCCTCCATCTAAATAAGTTATTTCAGTTTAAGGTCTGTAAGGAATCACATATATATTAAATGTTTTCTGTCTCTTGGTGTCCTATCCCAGAAAAGTCATCTCTACTTTTGGTGAGATGCTAAAACTTTCCTAGGAATTTGGGGTTGGAAATAAGAGATTGTAGCTTTGATCTGATTAGTCTTTGGAATAGAGGAAACAAACTGGGGAGCTGTGGGCTGTCATGTCTTACCTTGTGGTTTGGGAAGGGAAAACAGTAAATCTACAGTGAGAGAGCAGTGGAGCACTTGCAAAGTGAAAAGCAGAGATGAGAGATCAGGAGAATGCAATTCCTGGCTTTCTAACAGTTCTCCATTTCCTTGTTCCAACCCTTCATGAAGGGTTGGCTTGGCTTGGTATAGCACACGTTATCCTAATAATAAATCCCCCTATTTGCTTAAGCTAGCAAGATCTGATATTTGTTAGTGTCCTGTTTTTAACTATTGTTCTGGGCTTTGGTTAAAGTGCCCTTGTAATTTTATAACAAATTATCCCTTTTGCATAAAGCAGGAAGAGTTTTGTTTCTGTTACTAGGACCAACGCATCCTAACCAAATTTCATTTTCATTAGAAATGAAAAATAACTGTATATACGCATGTACAGTAATTGTTATATTACTGTATAAATGAATAGATTGAATTTATTTCTCAAAGCCTAATGCATTTACTTGTTGATTAAAATGTTAATATATCATAGACATATACATTGTTCTCTTGAAAAGAGGAATGAGCAGTACATATGAAATTACACTGGTCTAAAATAATCTTTTTTAAAATTTTAAAAATGTTTTTATTTATTTCTGAGAGAGACAATGCGAGCACAGGAGGGTCAGAGAGAGAGGGAGATACAGAATCTGAAGCAGGCTCCAGGCTCTGAGCTAGCTGTCAGCACAGAGCCCGTCGCAGGGCTTGAACCCACAAACCGTGAGATCATGACCAGAACCGAAGCTGGACACTTAACCAACTGAGCCATTCAGGCACCCCTAAAATAATCCTATTTTCAAGAATTGTGAAGGATCTGGGGCGCCTGGGTGGCTTAGTCGGTTAAGCGTCCAACTTTCTCTTAGGTCATGATCTCGCGGTTCGTGGGTTCGAGCCCCGCGTTGGGCTCTGTGATGACTGCCAGCTCAGAGCCTGGAGCCCATTTCAGAGTCTGTGTCTCCCTCTCTCTCTGACCCTCCCCTGCTCACGCTATCTCTCTCTCTCTCTCTCCTAGAAATAAAAAAATTAAAAAAATTAAAAAAAAAAAAGAATTGTGAAGGATCTGAGATTTCACCATTCATGCCCTCTGACAAGTTAGATTTCAATGGTTTTGTGTCTCTTGGGTCAGTGACAAAGGACAGTCTATTATTCATAGCAATAGCAAGGGTGGCTTTTGAAAGAGGCTGACATCCATGGAATAGATCATTTTGTCCACTTAATTATTAACATTTCTTCTGATATTGCTCTTTGGGGGGCAATTACATGAGACTCATTTATATTCCTATTCTGTGTCCATTCAGAGAAACTTATGGACATATATCTTTCTTGTTGCTAATTTTCCAATTGTACTCCTTATAAGTCCCCAACCATTCAGCCAAACCATTAATTACTCACTGCCAGTAAATCAGTAAAAATCCATAACTCTGCAAACTTATCTTTCCAAGCTATACAACTAGGTCACTTCTCAAAGTTATGCTACTGAAATTTTCACCAAGGCCATACATGAGCAGGACTCTGGTACTCCAGCTGTGAACTTTAGATGATGCTAGCATATTATACAGAACTGTTTGATAAATCAGACTCAAGTATCTTCTTCTTCAGTGAACTGATTATAAGTAACTCTACTTGATGCCATAGGTTATGTGGCAAGAGAGAGACCATGTCCCAGGAATAAGAGTCATGGGCATTTAACCATTTCCTCATGCAATTTTCCATCAATGAATGAATGAAAAAAATAATACACACACACACACACACTGGAATGTTATTCAGCCACAAAAGAGAAACTCTGCCATTTGTGACATGGATGAACCTGGTAGGCATTATGCTAAGTGAGATAAGCCAAACAGAGAAAGAAAAATACTACATTGTTATATTTATATGTGAAATCTAAAAAAAAAAAAAAAGAAAATTGCATTTACAGAAACAGAAAGTAGAATGGCCATTGCTGGGAACTGAGGGTTGGGGAAAATGGAGAGAAATTAGTCAATGGGTACAAATTTTCAAGCACAAGATGGGTAAGTTCTAGGATCTGATGTACAGCATGGTGACTATAGTTAATAGTACTATAGTGTATACTCAGAATTTGTTAAGAGAACAGATCTTACCACATACACTCAAAAAAATAACTATGTAAGGTGATGGAAGTGTTAATTAACTTAATTGTGGTAAGTGTTTTACAATATATAGACATATCATCATGTCGTACATCTTAAATATATACAATTTTATTTTTCAGCTTTACCTCAATAAAGTTGGGAAGCAATAAAATAAAAGCATCTTTAAAAGCTATTACATTAAATTCTATGACTTCAGGAAACTATCAGATGCCCTTGAAACTCATGATAATATCTTCATCATCAGCTTAGAGATTTAAAAAGCCCAAAAAACTGGAAATCAATAAAACTGATGTTCTTTGGTAGAAATATCTGCTTTAAAAATCCACTAAAGCACCATGAAAATATAATAAAAAGTTGTACTGACTTTGCAGAGTAAACAAATATTGATATTTTCTTTAAAAAAAAAAAGACGTGTTAGGTTACATCTAGATCAGCCTAATATAGCTATAGTACTAAGTTCTCTCTGACAACTCTGTCTGATGCCTTGTGTGTTATCTTGTCTTTCCACTCTGGCTTTGCATAAAAAATATTCCAAGCCCTAGGTGAACTGTGGGAATTGTTTGACCTACTGGTTTCTAACATTCTTTCCCCAGCTTCAGGTAATTTCCTTATTTGCATGTGCAGATCAGTACTCAACTAAAGATTCAGGGGGAACCTTCTACAAACCTCCAAAACTTGCTCTTTGTTAATTCCCTCCTCCCTGGCACTCTGCCTTGCTAATTGTAGCTTCTCTCACCTCCTGATATGCCCATATCTGTGTCCTGAACACATCAAGATTACCAGGTTCTAGGTTCTTTCAAAAGACCAACAAAAATGATAAACCTTTAGCCAGACTCATCAAGAAAAACAATAACAACAACACAGAGAGAGAACTCAAAATTAGAAATGAAATAGGAGAAATAACAACCAACACCCCAGAAATATAAATAATTATAAGAAAATATTATGAAAAATTATATGAGAAAAAATTGGACAACCTAGAAGAAATGGATAAATTCCTAGAAACATATAACCTCCAAAACAGAATCAATCAGCAAGAAATAGAAAATTTGAACAGATCTATTAACCAGCAATTAAATTGAATCAGTAATCCAAAAACTCCCAACAAACAAAAGTCCAGGACCAGACAGCTTTACAGGTGAATGCTACCAAGCATTTAAAGAAGAGTTGGGAGGAGGAGCCAAGATGGCAGAACAGCATGGAAGTTTTTTGTGTGTCTTGTGTCCATGAACTATAGCCAGATCAACACTAAACCACCCTGCACATACAGAAAACTGAGTTGAGGATTAACAACAATCTGCACAACCCGCAATCACAGAACTCAGCAGGTATGCGGCGTGGAGAGGTAAACTGGGGAAGAGAGAGGCCCCGGAGGGCAGGAAGCTGTTTTGCTTGCAGAGGGAGGACGGCGGGGGGGGGGGGGGGGGGGGGGAGTATGGGAAAAGCACCCCCCCAAAAGCAGCTGAAGACAAAGTGGAAAAGTGGAAATAGCCACAGGGACTGAAATGAAAAGGTAGAAAAGAGAAAGGAGAGGGTTTAAATTCCATTAAGACTCTATAAACAGGAGGGGCACAGAGCCTGAACTCCACAGCTCGATACCTGGCAGTGAGACTGGTGAATCCCCAGGAGCAGAGTGAAGTCTGGGGTCCTTGGGCCACATGGGTAGAGGCGGTTCCCCTGCTGGGGGGATTCCCCACAGGCAAAATCCCAGCGGATCCTGGAGAACAAACACATTAGCTGGTGCTACAACAAGGTTGTTAAGGGTAAAGTCTGGTGCCAGATGTGCTTGTGATTTTCCATAATCCCTGAAATGCTGCTGCTACATGACCGCGTGAACTTTTTCTGGGGCGGGCTGGTACCCAGGCGCAATCTCTGGGAATTGGCAGCAGC